AAAATCTTTAAGGAGACTTTAAACAATCCTTCGTGACTAGAGCAGGCAAGAAATACAAAACCTTCATTCCTTCCTTGAATCAAGGAGCACTACTGGAGTCAACTGCCAAAATTTTTAGAAGGTTTTAGGACTTACTATACATTGTATTGATAAGATCTACTGAATAAAGGATGTTCTCTCACTAAGGACCAAGTGTTATAAGATTCCAAGAAGTACTCCAAGAACAATCTACTTCTTTCGTCATTTGTTTATGAATTTATCCATGTTTGCTTAATGCTTCTGCTAAGTATTAGCCAAAATCTAGCCATTTATATTTAGTTGTGTAAATCTAAATTAAATGCTGTAGTATGTTGTGGAATGTACTATATATCATGATACAGAGAACATTGTTTTGGCATGTCAGACCTTACTTGGTTAGCAGACTGCATGTGTTGGTATCCTTTCCTTTTTTTTAACCAATTATTTTGATGCACTGCAAAAGAAATTCAGTTTATGAAGATAAATCTGAAAAATAGCTATAAAAAATTTACAGTAACATTAATCTTTCCGTATTCCCCTTTAAGCAACACTAAGCATTCACACCTGGATCCAAGGTAATTAAAAAGAGTGTTTTTCTGAAACTTTTTTAGTAAGGTGGTTTTCCAGCAAATTGCATTCCCAAGATAATGCTGTTGTGTTTTAAATTCATTTCCCTTCTTTAGTATTGGGTTATGTATGTGTGTTTGTTTTTTTAACACGAGAGCTGACTGTTGCTTAAGAAGTTTTCTTATGGCAAAAAAAAAAATGTAAATAATTTACTATGATCTGCATTTTGCCAGGAACTCATTTATTTTTAAGGTTATCACATATTAATAAGAACTTTTCTGTTTTTGTCCTTTATAATATTACATTAAAGTTGGTAACTGTTATTGGTACTTTTGAAATATTTGTATGCATTTGTTACCTTAAACATCTGAAGGAAGCACAAAAAAAGTAGATTTAGTTAACCCAGGGAAACATCAGTTTTTTTGTAGCTCCAATTTTATATCACAGTTTTATTTTCTTATGAGATCAAAAAATGCATTGATACTTATTAATGCAAATTCATTATTTAACATAAATATCAGAATAATCTTAAAGGTCTGAAATGAGAAAGATAATGACTTTTTTATTTTAACAGTATACTTCTTAGGCTCTCATTACCAGCTCTAAAAATCTTTTTGGAATAATTCCATATTCATAGTGTGTGGTTTAGGAACTATGTGTTTCATCACTAACCTAGTAGCCATGAGACTGTGTGTGTCTCTCCCTGCCTCCCTTCCCTCTCTCTCTCCCATCCCCCTTCCCTCTCTCTCTCTGTCTCCCTCTCCCTTTCTCTTTCCGGTAGGCCAGTTAGCAGTATTGTGTTCATAGTCTACTTTCAGAAAGACTTAATGAAAAGAAAGACAGCATGTATAGTTGACCAGAAATTAAAAAGGAATTTAGAGAACTTGGACTTAACGTAACTTAATGCCACTATTAACTTAGGTTTTGCCGCCAAATAATGCTGTAAAATTAAATCACTTTTAAACTCTTGGATGAAAGGTGCTATGTAAATGTAAATACAAAGGATTCTTACTCAAATACAACTATTGCACAACAGACATATTTAAAACTTATTCTCTAGATTTTGAAACATCTCTCTCCATCGTGACTCCCTAGATTCAAGTATCAAATTGATAATGGGCATCATGGCAGTCTAGAGATACTTGCATGTAAAAAATGTAAATTCATTTTTAGGTGGATAAATTGAAAGTAAATATAGAAGTTATGTTTTAGCCAAATACAGTAAGTGGGTAACTTAGATTTATATTAACTAGCATCTAATTTGCACAACTAGGACACATCCCAGGACAATTACTGAAAGTTGGAATTTAATGAGTAGGAAGTGGCCCGGTGAGGGTGAATCATACCACAGCTTGACCTCTCCAGAACACTAATGTCCTAAAATAGAGAACCTATTGACTTAAGCAGCACATTATTGCTTCACGTAGACCATGCTTACGGGCAGCCTATATAGTACTGAGTCTAAGGAGGCTGACCCTGAGAAAGTGCAGTTAGAGACAAAGGGGGAACACTTAAGACCATGAAAGTAGGAATATTCTCAATTATATTCATCACGTTTTTCATACCATTTCAAGAAAGGACTAGATAATAACCTCATGAATATTTTACTTTCTCCAAAAGATTCAGAAGCAAACTTAGTAGGAAGTCACTCCTTTCCCTTAGATAAATTGCTTCTGCCAAACAAAATAGTATGGCTACCTAGAAACTTACTGGGGCCACTTTCCTGACTGGGGTCTGCCATGCTTTTATCTGGCTGTGTTCTAAATCAACACCTAGCCCTCCCCACCCCACCCCAGGAAACTGAAGAATTAATATACAGGGTAATAGCTTCCGCAAAGAGCTCCAATAAAGTGCTTCAGATCTGGCCATGTGGAAAGGTTTGGTCCACGTTTTTGAACTGGTGGTTACCAAAGAGTTCATGTAACAGGTTTGTATGTAGCACCTTTCATGCAAGGCATGGTAAGAGCCTATTAAAAAAAATCACTGTGCGTATTACAGAATTGCAGCCACCTCACAAATGAAGTATTACAGCCTGCACTGTCTTAACAGTTTATGTCAGGAAGTGAAAAAGATACTGTACCAAATCTGGAATTACAATGAGGAGTAATAATGTATGCTACATGACTTTGTATTTTAAGTTACTTTTACAAGAAAAGTGAATTTTTGTGTTTTTCTTTTCTGCTACACTTTGTCCTGAGATGTATTTTTTCTTTAAGCCTTGAATGAGTAATACAAAAGGAGCCCATTTTGTGATATAAACCTTGATGTACATGTTGAGATATTTGGACAATGAAAATGCCTTAAAAGGAATGCTTATGGATAAAGTTGCACTTATAACACCCTTTAACAAAACCTGATTTTAAATTGTCTTTTTCTTTTCTACTAAGGGTTCTCTTTCAGTGTTTGCCATTGTACTTATAATTGTTATTAAATACCAAATCAAATAATATAAAAGCTGTAACATTTCCTTTAAAAATAATGGTACTGAGGGATCTGGAGTTGAATGGCAGTGATTATTACTTGGTAATACCTATTACCAGTCACAGGAAGCCAGTTCGTAACAAACCGTCATTGGTTTGATTTGTTTTTAAAAACATTTCATTATTTTTCATTTTAGTTTTTAACTTTATTACTCCTAAAAAATTAAGTTGGTTTAACATTCACTTCAACTGATTGATATAAAAATAAAACAAAGAGGTGATTTTTATAACAAGTGGTTAATAATCATTTAAAAATTGTAAGAGGGCGCCTGGGTGGCTCAGTTGGTTAAGCGACTGCCTTCGGCTCAGGTCATGATCCTGGAGTCCCGGGATCGAGTCCCGCATCGGGCTCCCTGCTCAGCAGGAGTCTGCTTCTCCCTCTGACCCTCCCCCCTCTCATGCTCTCTCTATCTCATTCTCTCTCTCAAATAAATAAATAAAATCTTTAAAAGTAAATAAGTAAATAAATAAAAATTGTAACATATAATTTAGCTAAGTATTATCTTTCCTTTCCCTTTGCTCTGGAAAACCTTTTTTCAGACCTAACCCATAACCTTGTTTAGATGATTCTTTCTAAATCTTTTAGGGATGAGTATTGGTTTGGGAAAAGAATGGAATCTTACCAGTTCTGTCAATCCCCACATAGTTTAAATACAATAATATATTGCACAAAGTAGTGTCTTTCATTTTCATTTATAGACTTTGGAGAGGCAGAATGTTAGAGGAGGCAACCAGTTGTGTATTCTGGGGCAGGTTAGTCTTTCTGAGCCTGTTTTCATTATAAGATGGGAAGGGCACTGTCCCCTGTCCTCAATCTTTGATTCTATTCATTAAACCTTCATTTTATGTGCAAAGCAACCTAAAATTTCCTCTTAGAGATGTAGTAAACAGGCAAAAAGTAACATGGCACCTTAGAATAAGTTATCATTTATGGACAATATTTAACTCCACAACTCTTAAATTCATTCTTTATAGAAATTCTGCCGTGAGTAGACTTGTAGCTTCTAATCCTATATATCAAAAAATAACGTTTTTACTCTTATTTTGCCTTTTAGTAACAAATTGGTTACACTATCACTACCAGATGGAAGTTACTTTTGAGTGACCAAACTCAGTAAAATATGGTTACCTCACAACTATCCCATTTGCTTGTAAGAGAATTTTCATGATGAGATCTCTAGACTATTTCTGTAGTATAGTCTACCTGAGACCTTCAACTAATGAAGGTTTTGTTTTAAGCGAAAAAGTATGTTACTCCACAATTTTGAACTAGCTTCTATAGAACTGACAATATATAATCCTGAGTTCTTACACTGTTTCAGATGCCATAATTGAAGGGCGGGGGATAAGTAAAATTTAATACAGCCTCAGGGCAGAAAAAATTTTTTCCAAGTATGGTCACATTTCTAACCTCTCAAAAAGATTAAGCAAATCTTTCCTTAATCCTCATTCCCCAAAGATAACCACCATCAACAATTTAATATATTCCTATATTGCTTTTTATTTTTTCCCTATATGTACAATATATGTATAATTTTATATATGCTGTTTTTGCAACTTGCTTTTTTCAAGTACAGTAAACACCCTAAAGAAGATGTAAGATAGTTAATCTTAACTAGCCTTAGTTTTGTTGTTAATCTACTCTTAATTGTTGAAGGCATTCCTGTAATGAGTAGTGCTCATGGGGGATGGGAGGTGGACTCTCTGAACTGACTAAAACTACCTCAATATATCTTTTTAAAAGCAGCTGCTTTTTATAGGGCACCTGGCCGGCTCAGTCAGTAGAGCATGTGACTCTGGATCTCAAGGTTATAAATTTGAGCCCTACCTTGGGTGTAGAGATTAAAGTAAAAAATAATTAAAAAAAAAAAAAAAAGCAGCTCCTTTTAGATGAAACGTTCCTCCTAAAATGATTTAATCACCAGACCAAGGTGCTAAATATTCTTATCACTTTTAATGCTTTTTATAAATTACAAATAAGAAAAACAGCTTTCAGAAATAAATGTATTCTAAATATCAGCCCAATTAGTTCTTTTTATCAAAATTTAGTATTATGGGATCATGTCCTGTCTTCTTCACAAATGTGAGAAAGTCTTCAGGGCTCAATCCCATGGTTGCAGCATTGGTCATTGGATGAAAGTACACCTTTTCATGTCCACCTTCCAAAAAAGCTGAATCCAGAACAAATTTCACATCTCCATCATCACAGAAGAGTGCCAAAGGTGTGGCACAGCCTTGGCCAACTTTTAGTTTTTCTAGCATGGCTGTTTCATCAGCAAACCGAAGATTTCCACTCCCAACACCTAACTGCTTGGCAAGATCATTTAAATTAATTTGTCTATCATGAAGAACTGTCACCAGCCAATAGCCTTTTTTCTTCTTGTCTTTAAGAAATAAGTTCTTACTATGTGCTCCTTTCAAATGTTGGATATGAGGCATCATTTCTTCAACTGTAAACACCTGTAAAATATCACATGAAAACTTCAAAAAATATGCATGTACACATACTCTGCTTGCTGGGTGAAGGTTAGGGAGTGCTCAATGCCCTGGATGTCACTGGTAGGGACCCATTCCCAGCCCATTAGAAAACACACCTTGCCGTTTCAATCCCTCATCTCGAGACCTCTAAGGCCAGTTCTCTTTTCCAATGTGCTGGCCAAGCACTCCTCCTAAAGTGTTTTTTGGTTTTTTTCTTTAAACTTTTGGTACTGAAAATCTACAGCAGCCAGATTCCTATTCCTTAGCATTCCATTACATCCAGACCACGTGACAGCCTCCACTTTACAAATATATAACCACAATGAGAGTGAGATCACGGGCAAGGAACAAGACCCCGACTAGTAACATCAGAAGAGCTGGCAATGTGCACAGGTAAAGAAGGGGGAGAGTTAAGTGTACTATATAGGAGGGAAGAAGGTCAGAGAAAATGATACAGTTTTGATGTTAAATTTGTAAAGCTGAAGATTTTTAACGTTTGCAAATCCTCACATCAATACATGAAATCATGTTCATACCAAACTCTCTAAGCTTGGTGTCCTGCTATATGCATGATGCCTGATACATCGTTGACACTACAGAGACGGTTTACTGCCTCGTAGCTTATCTACACCATAAACACACACTGACCCAACTTTACATGCAGAAGTTCTCAAAATGAAATGTGACCAAATCGCTCCAAGAGGAAAACCCTGTTTTCTCACAATAACATCATAGTCCCAAAAGGCCTTTGATGTTTCTGTCGGGTCCCTTTTGTGCTCTGGAACCTGGGAAATGTCCGAGAACGGACGTGTCTGCCGCACCTTACCGCTGGGGTATCTGGTCTTCACGGCCCCGCCCGAGAGACGCCGCAGCGGAGCCCACCTCTCCCGCAGGGCTGCCCCAGCAGACGCGCCTCACCTCCGGGTGCTCCACGACCTCTGTATGGATGGCTAGGGCGCCGAGCCGCTGCTCCAGCGCTGCCCGCAATTCCGCGCCCGCCATGCTGCCGTCGTGGCCAGAGGAGAGCCACGGGGCGGAGAAGCGCTGAAACGGGCGTGGCTTCCCGCGAGGCTGGCCGACTGGAGGCTAGGGCGGAAGTACGCGGAGGACCAGGGGGCCCCGGAAGTCCAGTGTGGCACCTTCCGGAGGCGGGCCCTTGCTGCGGTCGCGCGCTCTTCCCTCTCTCCTCCCCGACCCCCACCGTCTCTCTGGAAGTCGTCTGCAGAGGAGGCCTGGCCCGAAGACTCGAAGGCGTTCCTTATCCCGCGTTCTACAGGAGGAAGACACGTGCTTTTTTGTTTGTTTGTTTTAAAGATTTTATTTATTTGAGACAGAGAGAATGAGAGAAAGAGAGCACATGAGAGGGGGGAGGGTCAGAGGGAGAAGCAGACTCCCCGCCGAGCAGGGAGCCCGATGCGGGACTCGATCCCGGGACTCCAGGATCATGACCTGAGTCGAAGGCAGTCGCTTAACCAACTGAGCCACCCAGGCGCCCGACACGTGCTTTTTCATAGCCGCCTCTAATCCCGCTTCAGGTTCCCTAGGCTCAGCATAACTTCCATTTAAACCAGAATCAGGGTCACCTAACGAAGTTAGGCGTAGGGAGTGTGGGAGAACGTCATGGAGAGGATGTGACCACGGGTAAGCCCCAGGCAGAGACGCTCCTTACCCTTTCCCCTGACCTTGAAAAGTACCTTTTGCGCACTGTTCCTGTACCGGGAGCCATTTGAAGAACATTGCCTTGACCGAGTAATGTGTTATTGAAACCAACGGGACAGTTTTGTGCCTTAAATCCCCTTAAGGCCTCTGCATAAACTCAGAAGATTCTAGCAAGTGGGTGCAGAGATCGCTGTTTTGTAGCTGCCCAAGACAAGCTTCCTGTTAAGTTCTGTTGCTTATTAAACTTGCCCCTAGTCATTATTGAGTGGTCTGCCTCTTCCAGTCCCTCCTTGTTTAGGAAGCGGGGCAGTTAAAGATTTTAAAGAACTTAAGAGGTTTTTGAATCAACTCCCTAGGGAGAGAGGAGGGTGCCAAAATGCCTATTCTTTTACGACTTTTCAACTTTTAATTTATAAATTACAATTTCATTTGACCTTTCCTGAAAGTTACCTTTTGTTATTATTCATGTACAAGTAATTCGCGGTGGCAACCACAGCTCACCTTTTTTGGAGGCAGTTTGCCTACCTCTTGATGGGGGTTTTCCATTATCATGTGAAACCCTCAGTCAGCACTTTTTTTCACTAGGTTTCTTTCTAAAAATGAAATTAGAAAGCGTTAGAGAAAGATCACCCATTTGAAGATATGGCACATCCCAAATAATTATCCTTAAATATTTGAAGATGTTCAAGAAAACCCAAATCCAATCATGGTGAACTGAGAGTAATCAGGGGAAAGAAGAATTGGAATCTGATTGTAACCAAGAAAGGTGAGTATGTTCAAAAGTAGGAAACTAACCCAGGGTAGGATCTCCATGACAGCTACAAAAGAGGAACGCAAAGAGCCAAAATTGGCCGTGGCATCCCCCATATTGTCTAGGCAGTTGAGTTTTCTGACCTAGAAGTCTCTTTGGAAATGAACTGCCATCTATCAGTTATTCAAACTATGAATTCTCCCACCCAGCACACCACACACATGCACACCCCTATAGCTAATCCATCACAGTTCAGTTTCCCAAATCATTCCACTTCTCACCACCTCCATCACCCCAGCCCAAACTACTATCATTTCCCCATTTGGCTGACACTAATGTTCTCTTAATTTTAGTCCACCTGTGGTGGAATGACCCAAGTATCCTGCTCCAAGCAAGTCTTACAACCAAAGATATTTATTATAAAATGGAACTAGATCTGTGATAAAAGAACTTCATATCGCTGTTTAAAAACTATCCTAACCCAGACTTAATGCAATATTTGTCAACATTGTATTAAATACAAAATAAATGCTATCTATCCTTGGCATAGTCCTTTGTCTTCAAGGCGAATACAATCTCAAATTTACACTGGAAACAACATGAAACAGATGAAATTCAAAGTGATCAGCATGAGCTTGAGGAACTAGATATTTAGTCGCAGAACTTGAATTTTAAAAAAATTATAGAAATCTCACAATTCTAGGAGAGGAATAGCATCTGATAAATAGTTTACTGCATTATTTTACAAACAGGAAAAGATAAGAAGTTCTGTGGCATTTATTCAAGAACGTATTGAGGGAAAGACTCTTGTTATTAGGAAGAGTACGGATATTGGACAGAAAAGGACAGAATCTGGGAAAAAAGAGCTGGAAAATGGAGTTATGCCAGGATCCATGAAACCAGGGACCCTCATCTAAGTCAGCTCAAAGTAAAAGAAACAGTTGCAACTGTAGCCTACCTAGCAAAGGAAATATAAAGGCCAAAATATTTATCAACACCATGGGGAATGGGCATCATGGCATTTGTTAGATGAATGTTGGAAATCCCTGTTATTGAGTGAAACAAAGGGCAATTCCAGAACAGGTAAATTGAAAGCCATCCTAGGAAGCTGTACATGCCCCAAACATGTGAAACAATAGGGAAAAGTGCTTGCTGCAATCTATGTCTCTTCAACATATCTTTTGGAACATCTCTATGTGCCATGCTTTCTGCCCTCAAAGACATTGAAATCTAGCAGAGAGGACTGAAACATTCAGAGAATAAATCCAAGAAAATGTGACTAGTGGCATGATGTGGATGCTTTAGGAGCCCAGAGGAAGGGCGCTTAAGACTGCGTTGGTGCATCAAGGAAAGCATTAGGGGAAGATGGCATCAGTTTGAAGAATAAGTAGGACTCTGCCAGGGAAAAAAAAAAAAAGGGCTCCAGCTGAGGAAACTCCAGAAGTTGAGAGTTGGGGGTGAAAAAGCACGGTATGTCCCTGGGCAGTATGATTTGCTGTGACAGTAGAGCAGAATGAGAGGCCTGTCAGCAGAAGACAAGGCTAGAAGTAGGCACAAAGAATTGTACCTGCTACACTAAGGAATGAGGAATATCCCACCATCAAGGGCCATGTTACATAAATTAGGTGACATCTTCCTAGGGAATTCTATGTTCTCAATCATGCTCTCAATATGAAAATCTAGGGAAACAATTCAGTAAATGGAGAAAATGAATTATAGGAGAGGGTAGACAACATGGCCCCGATTTTGCTTCAAAATATACATAGCTGTATAACAGTAACTCAAAAAACTAATTAGTATTTGCATCTTTCCCTAATCCTACTCCACAAAAATTGGCTTCTAAAGGCCTATGGAAGAGGATTCTTACCAGGTCAGAAGAAGATGGAGGTTGGTTCCTAGAATAAGAGAGGAGAAAGCAGCTGGATCTAGGAGGAAATTTAAGTTTCGTCAGAGTCAGAAAAGAAGGTGAGGACTGGAGTGGGAAGGATGGGAGAGTAGAGAAGAGTCCCCTTCTTGGCACTTTGTCCCTCCAGTGGGTAGCAAGATGGGAACCTGCTGTCAGTGGAAGGCAGTCTACCTGGGGCAGCGCTGCCTAGGCAGATGAGACACAAGTACATCTGAGCATCATTGCTCAATGAGGAGCCATGACAAAAAAAGACAATAACCCCACAGTCCAGTTCCCTGGCTCCTGCCAAGTCTCAGGTTCCTGGGTGATTCTGTGGAGAAGGGAGGAAATCTTAGTGATAGCCTCAGGTTTAAGGTTCCTTGTAGCTCCAACATGTGGGGACATGAGCCATATTATATTCAACTCAAAATATGATTGAAGAGGGCGCCTGGGTGGCTCAGTTGGTTGGGCGACTGCCTTCAGCTCAGGTCATGATCCTGGAGTCCCGGGATCGAGTCCCGCATCGGGCTCCCTGCTCGGCAGGGAGTCTGCTTCTCCCTCTGACCCTCCTCTCTCTCATGCTCTCTGTCTCTCATTCTCTCTCTCAAATAAATAAATAAAATCTTTAAAAAAAAAATATGATTGAAGATCAGCTATGGGCTAAAGGGAAAGTGGTGAGCAAAACCACACAGAGACCCTGCCCTTGTGAAGCACACAGTATATTAATTAGTCAAATAATCACAGAAACAAATGTTAAATTGCATGGGTAGCAAGTGCTAAGAAGGACACATACGCAATGCTAGGAAAGTCCATAATAGAATCTCACCTCATCTGGGGGAAGGAGTGGGTCAAGGAAGGCCTCTCTGAGGAAGTGAAGCAAACTGAAATCTGAAAGATGAGTAGGAATGAAGAGGGCAGAGAGAGGAGAGAAGAGTGAACCAGGCAGAGGAAACAGCGTGACACTGTGTGCAAGGGTGGGAGGAAGCAAATCAAGGAAGAGGCATTGAAAGATGGTCAGTATGATTGGCATCCAACAAGCAAGGGGAGGGCAGTAGGGTCATGGCTCCAGTTCCCACACACTAGAGCTGGGAACTAAAATTCTCACCTGCTAAAAATACATTTCTTAAAGTGGTTATCTCTGGGGATGCCTGGGTGGTCAGTCGTTAAGCGTCTGCCTTTGGCTCAGGTCATGATCCCAAGGTCCTGGGATCAAGTCCCACATCAGGCTCCTTGCTCAGCGGGGAGCTTGCTTCTCCCTCTGCCTGCCACTCTTCCTGCTTGTGTGCTCTTTCCCTCTGACAAATAAGTAAATAAAATCTTAAAAAAAAAAAAAAAGTGAAATGGTTATCTCTGGCTAATGGAACTGTGGGTATTGTAAAAAAAATTTTCTTTGTATTTTCTATCTTCTGAAAATTTCTATGTTTCTATGTATTTTTATAATGGAGGGGGGGAATCAATAAGTTACTAAAAATAAAGAAATATAAACCATGTCTCCACAAGTAAGATCACATGAGAGTATTTTTAACACAGGCTTCAAAAGAAAAGAAAGTTAAAATGTAAAAAAATTAATAAGTGGGCAGACTGAATTTAATTACCTCCCAATTAAAATATGAAATAGATGAAAACATTCAGTTTTCTTGCCTGGAGAAATATTGGTTTCATACAACATAAAATGTGTGGAGTAGATGACAGTTGATTAAGCAGAGAAGTAGCATGTTTCCCTTTTGTTCCCTTTAAACACTCATTTAAAATTGGATGGTCCTAAGGAAGCTTTGTTTTAAAACTCAGAGGACTCTCAGTTCTGTTAAAAATTATCCAAAACCTGGAAATAGTGAAGGGATTACTGCTTGCCCTTCCAGTGTTCTGCTGGGATTTGTTTAGCACACACTCCTGGGGATTCTCTGAGTCTCTAGGAATGGCCAGCTTTTTTGACTTGGTATCTTTTTATTATTTATTTAAATTATTTATTTAAGTATTTAATTATTTAAAATAATGTACTAATTATTTAAAATACAGTTATATTATTTTTTAGTATACAGGTATTGTACAACTCTGTAAGGGTAGATCTTAATGTGTGGAAAACTGATAGTAATATAAATGAGTTTTGTCCCATTGAAAAGATAAACCCAAAAGTTACAGCTTTATCGTGCTGTAAGATATTAGCCAATTTCGTATCTATATTAGTAATCTTGTTCAAGCATTCATTCTTTCGGCCACTGTAAATACTTGGCATTCCTCAATTCTCTTTGAAGGAGGCTTACCATCTTGTTGGTTCTCTTGTTAATGAGTGAAATACATCTTTAGACACATGATCGCTTTATATTTAACATTTTTAAACTCTTCAAAAATAATACTCTAAGAATTTAACCTTCTTAATTTTGTAATGAAGATACTGATCACCAGAAAAGTTAAGTGTCTTATTCAAAGTCTTCATACTCACCGGGAAAGAGATAGGACAAGAATATTGGAATAAGAAACGTAGGTTGGTAAGGGGGTACAAAAGTTCTAAGATGAGCAAGGTCTGAGGACCTAATGTGTAACAATGTGGTTCTAGTTTATAATGCTGTATTGTATAACTGAAATTTGCTAAGAGAGTGGAACTTAGAAGTCCCCAACAAAAAATAAATAAATAAATATAAGTAAATTTATGAGGTGATGGATCTGTTAATTAACTCAATGGAAGGGGAATACTTTCACAATGTGTATGTATACCAAATCATCACATTGTACAGTTTAAATATCTTAAAATTTTGTCAGTTATACCTCAGTGAAGCTGGAAAGAATGAAATTAAAGACTTTACAGCAAAAAGACATTTTTAAAGAGATGTGATTGTGTATGAAGAAATCAGTGAAGTTGAGGAAACCCACAGAAAGCTTTGTGTAATTTGGTTGCTAGTGATAAAGAGAGAACTATCTCATTGTTGATGAAAATCCATTGTGGATATCTTTTTTTTTTT